ATTGTAATTTGACTACTAATGAACATTTAGTACTAACTTTTACACGACTGCTAAAGAGTGTAACATTTTCACAAACATGTATATTTTTCTGCATATCATAAATAATTTTAATCTCAAATTTCTTTAAATATTATATATATGAAAGTTTGTATGTTTGATGTTTGTTACTCAATCATTCAAAAACGACTGAACGGATTTCAATGAAACTTGGCACGCATTATAATTTATTTACTGCGTTTGTTTTTACTTTCGTTTCTAATCTGTCATTTATCATTCATAAAGACCATGTCAATAGTGTTCAATATTCATTATTCAAGATGTAATCATGTCGCTTACACCTGAAGAATGCACCAGCATTCTCACAATGCTGGAAACCGGCCGGAGTCAGCACGGTACAGCCAAGACTGTCAGTGTGTCACTGTCAACAGTACAAAGAGTTTTCCGACTTTACGCGGAAACTGGCTCTAACCTACACAGACCAGGAACAGACAGAACCAGGTGTACCACAGCACGAGAAGATCGATACATGGTGAGCACTATACTTGAAAATCAAATGAGATTACAAATCAGTTTCGACGCCTCGGAGAAAGTAACCCAGGCGCATGGACAGTAAGAAGATGACTTGCTCAATCTAGCTTGAAACCACTTAGACCTGCATACGGTCAAAACTGGAGCGTAGGCATCGTATTTCAAGATTAAGATATTCCCAGATCCACTTAAATTGGACTATTGATGATTAGTCAAAATTTATGCTCTACAAGCATGATGGAAGACACAGAGTATATAGAAGACCTGAAGTAAGTTTAAAGCAAGCATGCATCGAAGAAAATGTAGCCTACGGTGGTGGGTCTGTACTTGTATGGGCTGGAATTTCTTCTGAGAGTCGCACAGAACTGGTGTTCATAGAAAAACGGCTCTTTAACTAGCAAAAGATATGTGGAAGAAATCTTGAAGGAACACGTTGATCCATTTATGGTCAATTTGGGTGAGGGTGCTATTTTATTGCATGACAATGCCCGACCTCATACAGGTTGATTGTGAATGACTACCTTCTAGAGATGAACAATACTCGTACTCTCACAGAGGAATGGGGGAATATTCCCCAAAATCATATAAGAAACTTAGTATACAGCGTGCCAAACTAGGTAAACGCAGTAATGGAAACACGAGGAGGCAATATTAAAATTCAAGATAATCGTAATGTTGTTCAAAATTGTCATGTTTCTATTTTGGTTTTAAAGTGAGATCAGCCAGTTTATTTATTTATATATTCTTTTGTAAATAAAATGTCTGACTCATAAATTTTATTACTTTCATTTAAGGAGTATTTAATTGTCTATTAAACACAATTTATTTCATTAGCTAGCATTCTTAGTTTGCAAGATTTTTAGAATTCTTTATGTGACTCCGATTCATTGCTCTCGAGTGTAGAATATGATTCGCTGCCAATATCGAATCGCAGCACATTTAAATTCCTTCGTTCAAGTTTCAACGAATCGGAACATAGTTGGGAGATATGTGAGCTGTGAATGTAGACAGACGCAGTGAAGCGAGTACTTCTTTAGACGCATGTTGCTCCAATGCATCCAGTAGAGCTTCAATTGGAAATGTTGTACTACTAGTGATTTGAATTTAAACGGAAATATTGAATTTGTCATGCCAGTTTATCATTTAGTTTAAAAGTGGGTAGGTATACAAACGTTCTGGACTGATTCCTCCTTGATTTTTATCACCAAAGAATTGATTTTTATACTTAAAATATAATTCTACTCATTTTATGCTTTGATGTCTTCCTTTTTTTCGATAACTTGTGTTTCTAACAAACTAGAAGATTTCAAAAAAGGCCAAAACTAAATATTTTTTATCACCACTAAAGACATCTAGTGTGGAGATATAATAAGCATTAACAAAAAAGCGAAACATAGAGGCATATTATAACTACTTATTATTCTTATTCATTCTTTGTTTCTTTTACATATCTAGTTTTCGAGGAGGTAATCATCGAAAGCCAAACCTCGAATTTTACAATTGTTATACGCAATTTTCAGCTACTGTTGTCCCTATCGCACGGTATTTACCAATGCTCGACAGCTATAGTTTTTTCTAATACCAATTTCTCAAATGTCTCTCAGCTCGCGTCCGCTTTTAATCAGTGTCGTTAAAACATTACAAATATTAATGTCAACTAAAGAATAATGAATGAAACACTGTTTAACACGTAAAACTGAGTGCATATATTTATTTCTACTTTTATTGACATTTCGTGCCCTTTACGTCTCATTTTCAAAAAATAATGATGATGAGGAATACGTGAAAACATAAGAAGTAAATATAATAATAATAATATAATAACATCGACATTCAGCAGGAGTTGTCAATTTTCTCATTATTACTTTATGACAACAATAAAGTCCTCTATAGGTAATTTAATTATCAACAGAGCGGCGCGGCGTAGCCGCAAAGGTCACCACAACAGCAAGTTTGTTGCAAACTAACTTAACGTTAACTCAGAAGAGACCCCAATTTCAATACATGTCCTGAAAGTACTTTCAATAATCATTTACCCGCTGGTACTGTTTTGTTTTTTTAATTACTACCACTCGAAATTGGCCGCGTTGTTCTTGTCACGTATCTCTTGTACGAAAATCTGTTGTCAGTTTTACTGCTCAAGTTTTCAATTGACCTAAAAGTTGCGCTTAGCGAAGCGTAACGCGTTCAGTTTACGGAAGTTATTGTGCCACTCGTGTACTTTTGACCGCTCAATAGCGCAGCTGCTATGACCTGCCTCTCTCACACGTGTAAAACTTATGTAACTTAGTGTAAAATTTGTCATTTTCATAACCCGAAATCTCAAACTTCAAAACTATAGAACTAGCCAAACGTGGTTGTTTACTGCGGATCTTACAAGAAGGCCGAAAGCCACACAGCGAGAAATGGAGAGAGCGATGCTCGGTATTTCCTTACGCGATAGAATTCGAAATGAGGAAATCCGTAGGAGAACTAAAGTAACCGATGACGCTGAAGTAGCAATGGGTGGGACACGTAGCAAGGAGGGTCAATGGCCGTTGGAGCGGAATGGTTCTTCAATGGCGACCACGCACCGGACGACGTTCAATGGGCAGGCCCCCTACGAGGTGAACAAGTGGTACAGGACCGATCTGTGTAGAGATTCTTCGGGGAAGCATGTGCTCAGCAGTGGGCGTCGTACAGCTGATATGATGACCCGAAAACGAGCTAATTTTATACATCTTATAAATATAAATATATATATATATATGAACATTATTATTATTTGAAATTTTTGGGGTTATGCAGTCCTAATGGGACTGTAGTCACTGCGACCTATAAGATCTATTGTGACTCCCACCAAAGGTATATGTTTTAGCCCGACAGCTTCCAAGAAGCTCAAAATGTTTCTAGCTTTTAGAGATTTGATTTCCTCTGGGCGTATTCTATGTCGTCCTAAATGAAAACTATGTTTGTGGATGTGTGATCAGAAAGTGTAAAATATTTCAAGCTCTTCATTGCAGTATCTGCAAATATCAGTGTCACTCAATTTCATATGAAATTGGTATCAGTATTTGCAGTATCCAGTTAAGGCTCTTACGATAGCACGAGTGTTCGGCCTGCTAAGTTCTATTAACTCAACAGTCCGTTTTTTCGAGTAACCCTCTGTTAGTGATTTAACGTGCTCTTATCCTGGTTGGCTTAAACAGTTTTTTTTCGATTTACTTATAAGGTCATCCTTAAGAATTTGCATAGCATGGTTTTTAGGGATGCCACAGAAAGGTTCTGGTCCCATCTGTTGCCCCTGAGCCCCTGCTCTTGCTAATACATCAGCTTTCTCGTTGTCGATTATCCCTGAATTACCTAGTACCCATTTAAAAATAACTTTATTCTTTTGACCCAGGTTATTCAATTCAGTTTATCAACGCAGTCTTTCACCAATTTCGCGCATATCGTGTTCGAGTTAATGGCGTTAAGTGCTGCTAGGCTATCTCAAAAGATTTATATAATAATATATATGGCCTGGTTTACGTAGTTTCGTTGATGATTGACTTCTGCACATTCTATGATGGCATATACCTTTGGATAAGAGTGGCAGAAAATCGGGAGCAGTGGTGTGCATTAGGAGACCTATGTCCAGCAGTGGACGAGCATGGGTCGATGAGGATGATGATGATATACCTTTGCCTGGAATATAGTAGCGTGTTTGCCGAGATTCACGCTTTTGTTGAATTGTGGCCTTTCGCTGTATATTCCACATCCTACTTATAGTATCCTACTATCCTATTCATAGTCATTTGGCCACGTTTCTATGCTTGGCAGTTCACTTTTTTAATTGCAAAATAACTCAGTGGAAGCATGATATCTGTAGTCATTGTAAGTGGGGTTAGTTCAAGCGCTGTTTGGTGGAGAGACCTCAGTGCTTGTGAGTGCAAGTTCGTGCTGCCAGTAGTGCTTACTCTGTATATACTTGCTTTCGCCTACTTTGTTATGGATAAATGAACGGGCGATATGATTAGAAAAGCATTAAGTATAGCACCTGGCGTTGAAGACATAGCACCAGTTGCCATAAAGCATGCTATTCTTTGCAAGCTATTCAGCATGTTAATGACTGTCATTTGAGGCGCTCTTTCCACCACACTACTCAGACGTGTGTTAACATCGGTACATCTGTCACAATTGTGCATTATTTTTTTATCAAAAATGTTACTAATGAGCACTATATTACTTTGGCCATACCGCACGGAGAAAGCCCGTCAACTTAGACAGGTTGGCTGTTGTGGGTGAATGGTAAAAGACGAAGAGACCGTTCACCTGCCCGTTGGTTAGACCAAATGACGTTACTGGACTCACTCTACCGACTGCCCTAAGACAAGTCAAAGATAGAATAGAATGGAGAGACCTTGTCACCGCCTCGGTAAAGGCATTTCAAGAAAAACACGACCTGCAGGAATAAAGACTACGATGAAGAAGAGATATCAAATATGACTCACCCAGTGTGCGGAAGACAATAGGTCTGCTTCTATATTTGTGACCACCCCAGAGAGCGGCCACAGTGACTTGATACTGGGTGTCAGCTTCCAACCCACTCAGTATAACTGCATCCGAGTTACCCGCCACCTCCAGCACCACTCTGTAACTAACGAGCAATCAGTCAATTTCGATGTTTTCTATTGGCAAGCAAGAGATAGGAGGAAGAATGAAGAGGGAAATGAAACGCTAATCTAATAGTTGTACTTCCTGGTGATGATTTCTTTTAAGGTTGCGTAAATAGTTAAGCTAAGCTTGTGTGTCTTAGTAAAAAAATGTGTTTTAAGTGATTTATTAAAAAACTAGTTCCTTATTATCACAAAAAATTTGCAAGTTCATCACGAGTTTAAGAAAAATGGCGTACAAAATTTGCCTAAACAAAGATTAAAACAGAGTCTAACTTTTATGTAGTATGACCGATTTTGTTTTTTTAATAAAATAAGAAGTGTTCGCTAGAATTTATATCTGGAGAGTTTACTTGCGGATTACTTACTCTAATAGCAATTTTTTTTTCCTGGAAGCGGTATGAAGTTAAAAAAACCCCGCGTTTCAGCTTTATCCCAATCTCTTTAGCTATCAGTATGAATCAAAATAATAACTTAGATCTTTTATTACAATTAAATTGTGATTTCAACTGCTTTAATTATTTTATTTTTCACCTTAAGAACTTAAAATATTAAAGATATAAAAACTCAGAACCCAATTACAACAGTAGCAATGGCAATTTATCCTCAGAAATTTGATGTTTCAAAATAAATTGAGAAGAGCTCCTCATAGGCGAATATGTCTGACAGACGAGAGGCATGTCAAATGTAACTGAAAATTAAAATCTCCCAATCAATATGTCCAGAATGTAGTAGAATTCAATCAATCATTGATTGTTACCGTCGATAACAATAGTATTTGAATGATTGGATTTGTGTCTTTTTACCTTGAAAAGGAAAATAACAAAAAGTCGGGAAATCATTCGATTCGATCAACATGAAAGTTGATCGATTTATCGACCTCGTATAGCTCGGTCAAATTGTAGTATAGCGCCTAATAAAACAAAAAGGATATACGATTTAGCCAAATTGCTGCAAAGTGAAAAAAAAAGCTTTTACTAGCTAGCTCTAATACACAAAATACTCATCTTATGGTTAAGTACAGTGGTGTACAGTGGAGCTTTTATCTTCAATAATAAATGAATAATAAGCTAAGACTAGTTACGCCGTGTTTGTTCATATCACTCAAATACCACTTGCACTTAATTCATTCATTGAACAGTGGCAAAACATTGATAACTAGGTATTCCAAGCTTATTCTTTATTTTTTATAAGGGGTTTATGGGAAAGAGTGTATGGATTAGAATCACGGTACTACCTGTGTTAAGAATGCAAATTTTCGTTCTCTAGGCATGTAATATTTATATAGGTACCTATTTTATAAGGGCAATAAGTTTTGTTATTAATATCCACAGTACATCTTAGCTTTCAGTCCAGCTTAGTTTGGCATTAAACTACTTCGGAGTTGACTTCTTTTTAGGCTTCAAAGTTGCTTTTCTCTATGGAACTTAAAGCGGAATTAACATTACTAAATAAGTGGCATGATAGTAGTTACGTGATATTATTTTATCAGCAATTTCTCGTTTAGTCGACTTCTTCACCGGGTCGGTACGGGCTCGTTTCCTTACTGAGCGGATCGAACCTCTAGCGAGTAGCTGTAGCGAGTTCTACCAAACCACTGGACTCGTCTGTCCCGTCACTCAAAATCGTGTCGGTCAAGAAGTGGTTTTCGGTAAAGAATTTGTACAGATTCGGTACAGAAACGAAAACGAAATGAGCACGTGCCAATCCAATGAGTAAGGTGCCTGACACGTTTTGGCGTTTACTCGTAAAATTGTTGATGAAATTAAAATCACGTAATTACTTTCATGCCACTAATTTCGTTATGTAAATAACTTTGAAACAACAAAATTTATAATGGAGAAGGAGTGCAGCTATTTTCAATTTATAATGAACTATAAATAAATTTAAAACATATACATAACACATTCTTACATGCGTTTGACATCAATTTGACAAATATATAAATAATATAAATTCTATGATAGAAGAATACTATCAAAGAATTTATATTAGATATGTAAATTTCTTGACAATTTTATAGAAAACACAATTAGTATAGAAGTTTGTCAACCAACAGGTTGGCAGAAAAACCAAAAAGGTATAATTGCGGCAACTAGGCAACCTCCAGTGAATTGTAATAGTTTCTATAACTCCGTTGTATTGTATGACTCTGTGCGGCCGTGTCTTTACGGTTTTTTATTTCGATCGAATCTCCTTGACAGCGCTTTTGATATATACGCTTGTGTCATTTTAATACTAAAAAGAAAAAGAAACTAATCCATTCCGAAATACGCGCCATTTTCTTATTAGCAAAAGTTTGCTTCAATACAACTTTAAGTACCCGGTATTAATACGTTACGTTACGTTTCGTCGCAAATGTTTTGAAAAGCATTGTATGACATTCGTGCAGAATTGGTGTTTACAAACTTTTTGCACTAATATCCTTTTTTTTTTTGTTTTTCTTTTTTTTGTCTGGGAAATGCTTTACGCATCCTTCAACCACCGGGGGAGCGAGAAGAAGGTATGTGGGACTCCTCCCTACTCATTTCAGCCAGCCCTTAGGCCGGGTGAAATGAGCAGGGCCCTACCTAACGCCCTGAACAGGGCCACTAAAAACCAGACAATACTCCTGCACCGGTCACCCGGCGTACATTCTGAGGACCGCAGTCCCCCCAATGCACGCCGAGAGTGCGGGTGTGGTCGCGGCAACCGTTGCCGACTGTCCGCGCACCCGCAAGGTGATTGTTCGCGAACGGACCCACCCCAATGAAGGTGCCCCGGAGTATCAGGGGCACCAGCATCAAGAGAGCTTGTGCAATGCAGGCCGGTCCCCCCCCCAGGGCAGACCCGCGGCTCTCACAGGAGTGGGAGGGAGAGCGTAGTTCTCTCGGTCCCTCTCCCGCCCCCCTTGGCCCTAAGAAGGGCTTTTTGAGCATCTACCGCCAATCGCAATGATCAGACTCACTGTGGGGTGATGCTCCTACCCTGGTCCTGAAAAGGACCGTTGAACGGTGTTCAGCACTCGACGTGCTGACCATCCTAGGGTCCCTACGTGACCCAGTCCCCCCCTTGCCCCTCTGCGGGCTATCCCCTTTGTCAGGGTGGCAGAAGATGCGCCAGTGTACGCCTGCCTCTCCTCCCCCTTGCCCTTCTGCTGCGAAGAGGACCCGCGAGGGCTTTCACCTCGCGGACTCTCTCCGCAGCCTCCTTCTGCGAGATGACATCCTCGCAGAAGGAGACCACCGCCTGCCATGACCCGTTGCTATCCAGCATGGCTTTTACCACGCCGGGCAGCGAGAGGTCCGTCCCTACAGTCTCCGTCAGAGTGCTACGCCGCCGAGTCCACGCCGAGCACACCTCTAGAGTGTGCTGCGCCGTGTCCTCGGCATCGCCGCACTCATGGCATGAAGGGTCCGCCTCCCTCTGGATCCGGTGCAGATACTTTTCGAAGCATCGGTGCCCGGAAAGTACCTGCACCAATCGAAAGGTAAGCGTCCCCCTCCCCCTGTCTAACCATTCCCTGAATACCGGCCGAATCGCTCCGATTGTTCTCCCCCCCGCCGTCGGGTTGTCGAGTCACTCCTTCCAGCCTCTCCTGAGCGCTTCTTCTGCCTCCCTGCGTATGCCTGCTACTTCCTCTATTGTGGCACGCTCTCCCCTTTCCCTCGCCTGGATCCTCCCCTGGTACACTTCTGCAAGCACGAGTGCTTCCAGATCCCAGGGGGGCATCCCTGCGAGGATACATGCCGCCTCATATGACACTGTCCGGTACGCCCGTGCCGCTCTTATGGTCTTCTGAGCTCTGCTCTGTTGACCGCGCTGAGGCTGTCCGCCCACACCGGCGCACCGTACAGTGCCATGCTTTTAATAACCCCCGCGTACAGCTTTCGGGAGCTGGCGCCAGGTCCCCCCAAATTTGGGAGCAGTCTACCTAGTGCCGCCGCCGCACTTACCAGCTTCGGGGTCAGGAGCTTAAAGTGGTAGTCAAACCGCTACTTCCCATCGAATTGCACTAATATCCTACTAATATTACAAATATAAAAGTTTGTTAGTTTATATGTTTGTTACGCATTTAGTTTGTGACCTGGATTGCGACTAAGGATACCTTTTATCCCAGATTTTTTTTAGGTTTCTGTGGGGCTCTCAAAAACCCAAAGTTAACGCGATAAAGTCGGGTGCGGGCGCTAGTGATAAATTACAATAATAACTAATTAAACTAATTAATAACTCTACTACACGTGTTGTACGTGACACCAAAACGTTTTGACAGTCACAACACTTAATAGGCCAACAGTTTCCTCGGGAAATTTATCGGTATTGCTGTTTCCGTCACCGCCTCTTCCGGTGACCGGCTACCGTATTTTTTCACATTCTTTTACTGATAATTCCTAAAGTAAGAGCATTAATAAAATTTACTGATTACTATTTCAATAATTTTTTAAATGGTGGACTTAATTGAATTATTATTATTATGTTATAACAATTACACAGTATACTTAAACATAATATTTGTCATACGATTTTTGGTCGTTAACGATCGTATTTTGCACATGGTTAACGAGCCTATGATAATAGAACAAATCATAAATTTTACGGAACAACCTCTAAATGAAAGTCATAGGTACTTTAGTTTCACTCAAAATACAGTATATGTATGTTATATCTTCAACCCCAATTTATTAACTTGCCACATTTTATTAGTTTGAAACTTAGTTCACTAAACGACTAGCTGATGAATCGTTTGACCCGCCCTTTGTAAGAAATAAATATATTTCTGTATAGTTTTCCACGTTTTAAATGAATAATTTATCAGTACTACAAAAGTGAATAGCTAATTGAGAGTTACGTTCATTTATTATATTGTGTATATACTAACGACCCGCCCCGTCTTTGTACAGTTGAAATTTATATAAACGCGATAAAGTAGTTAGAAGCATTTTTAATTAATTTATATTATGATCACACAGACATATTAAAAAGTACATAAGTATGGTGTAAAATT